ATGAATTTTTTTTTTTTTACTAATTAGACGATTGCCCCCCCCCCACACACACATGCAAACATATATATATATATATATATATATATATATATATACACAGACACACATACACATAAATAAAGCGGACATGAACTGTCTTCGACTGGCCAGATACCCATCCTCATCATCAATCATACTCACTGTCACTGTTCTGAACATGTCCAAACCAGAGCACTATTCACGATGCTAACGTGCAGCGTCTTTCATTGACTCTCGTAGCCTCTGGGATGTGAAACAAAGACAAGTCCAAACACATGCGAGCAGATACCAGGTGCCTGGAGTCATTCCAAAACACAGACTGTCTTCAAATGTGTTGAGGCAAATACATGTAGCGGGTGCTGGCTTCTATCATATTTGATTCACACAAAGCAAACAGTCACAGAGGTGCATTTTTTTTTCATTTCCCACGACACCCCTCACGATCCACTTGGGATCAGTCCGTGGGCTACCGGTCGATCGTGACCAACTGGTTGGGCATCCCTGATCAGAGTGTCCAATCAACCAACCATGCATGTTTTTGGAATGTGGGAAGGAACCGGAGTACCCAGAAAAAAGCCACGCAGGCATGGAGAGAACATGCAAACTCCACAGAGGAAAACCGCAGTCGGATATGAATCCATGACCTCTGCACTGTCAGGTAGAGGTGCTAACCAGTCAACCACCATGCCGCCAGGAGTGAAATCATTTTATTTATTTTTAATATGCATCTACAACAAGGGGAGGACACAGGCAAAAATGACTGACAACTTGATGAAAATAAAAACAAACAAAAATACACTTACCAAAGCAATTTGTCCACCTTCCCCCGATAACATTTTTTTTTCCATCAAAAGAAAATTTACAATATAAAGAAACATACAATTAAGAAGGAACATTTTTATTTATTATTTTTTCTTCTTTTTCTTTAAACTACACGAGACATTTAGGATGGGAAAACTACCCTAACATGAAATAAAGCAAAGCCTCCCTGTGGACACGATGCCTCATTATATTCAATACTGCTAAAATAAAATAAAATGAGGAACTGAACAGAAACAGTCCTCAATTTCGTCCCCTGCGGCCCCTGTTCTTTTTCAAATGTTACAATATTTTACAACGGCACAATAAAAATACAGAAATGTTCATTGCTTGCGGACAGAAATAATAAAAGAGAAAGACTGCACTTTTGGACAAGAGTATTTGGAAAAAAAAAATCCCCATTAAAAAAAAAAGTCCTTCATAGTTCAGAAGAAGGGATATGTATCAACAAAATGGCCTTCTCCTCCAGTCCGATTCACAGTTGCAATTGTGCGTGACGTTTCAATATCAGGACCTACGTTCTGCTTTTTTTTTTTTTTTTAAATAAACAGTTGCAGAGTTTTCATTTAAAGTCCGAGAATGCGCTCATCTTGCGCCATGACTCGCCCCCAATGCGCGCGCGCCCACTCACACTCACACACACACACACACATACGCGCGCAAACACGCACACACGCTCAAAGTATGTTTCTGTGATTTGAAATATCAAAACATGTCAATGATATCAAAAATGCATTGTACAGTATTTACAAAAAAACAAACAAAAAAAAAAACCAAATACAAATGAAAGATGGGAGAGTTCAACATGACTTAAAAACCCGAGAGCGGTTGGCACCCCTGCAAAGCTAGGGGAGGGATAGGGCGGTGGGTCAAAATCTTTCATACTCATTGGTGCGAATTATGGGAGGCTGGTGGGGCAAGGTGAGGGCTGACATCAAAATTCATTTGTAGCCAATGCTGACTGACTGTAGACAAAATACATTTTAAACAAAGACACACGGGGAAAATGAAAAATACTTTTGTTTACATTGTTGACAAACTACAATTAATTAAAAAACAAAACTAGAGTGGATGCCACTCCTACCTGGGCCTCACCCAGTGCAAAGTATGTGAGGGTGGGGAAGGGGTGGGTGGGGGCAATTAACCACATTTGTCCTCATTGTTGACGAATGATCAGAAAAAAAAGATTGACAGGTGACATCTTAGGTGGGGCGGCATCAAAACTTGTTTGTACTCATTGGTGACAAATTATGAGCAAACTAAGAAATATAAAAGAGAACCCTTGCACAGCAATGTTGGCGGGAGCATCACGAGCTGAGGGGCCGCCCCCCCCCCAAAAAAAAGCTTCAGTACCTTGTAGGGTGGGTCTGAGTGACGCTCTGATGACATCACACAGATGAGAACACCATGCCGCCTATCTGCATATTTACACCATTGCTACGAGTGGTGCAGCTAGAAGAGAATAACACTTGTTAAAAACGATGCAACCTTTCACACAGAGAGCCTGCTAAATCACAGCATCAAAAATCTGCCATCTGTCTGCCTTTGCCTTTCACATAAAACCCAGTAACTACAGGCAGGAGTTTGCCGGTCTTGTATCAAGAAGTGTTCATGAAAAACTGCCGTTGGAACCGTGTGTGTGCTTTTACACAGCAACACTGCATCCATTTTTCCGGTTCTTGGTTTCACACACAACCCGGAGAATATATACAGGAAAAGGATACAGAGAATACTTTTCATAATTACATGATGTCAATGCATCAAATAGTTTTAGAAACTGATCATTGCTTTCGACACAAAAAAAAAAAAAAAAAGCCCCGCTTGTACGTACCACTTTGCAGGGTTCTTCGTGGAAGGCAAAGGTGAATAGATGGCAGTTTTTCCATTTACAGTTTTGATATGGTTATTTTGCGGGATGTCTGTCGAAAACAGGCTTTCATAGGCTCATAAATCAATGAATAAAAAAGTAAAGATATAAATACAGCTGTGCATTACTCTGCATGAGGCTGACAAAAAGTTGCATTGGAAAGAAATATTTGAGCAAAAGCAGGTAGGGAAAATGAAGGTTGAGGAAAGAATAAAATGGGTAAAGAGAGGGAAAAAAAGAAGAAAAAATAATTTAGGTAAAAAAATTATTTAAAAAAAATAACGCTGGAAAAAAATTACTCTAAAACTAAATCATTTGGGTCAAAAAATGGGGATAAGAAAATAATAAATTGGCTCACAAAAAAATTTGGAAAAACAAAGTATATATATTTTTAAAAGGCCAATAATGCAGGGATAAAATTTTACCAGCAGGGAGCAGTGAAGTGACATGTGTGCACATGAGTCGCCTTTCTTTTGCAAAGTACTGTGCACTCTGAATGAAAAAAAAATGACCATTGCAATATAATTAATAACAAAAATACAATAATAAAAATAGCAATGATACAAGACCAATACACAAAAGGGCAAAAAATGGATCATCATACCTCTGATAAAAATGTACAAACAGAGGTCCGGAACAACACATTTAAAAACTAAATTATTTAAAAAAATAAAATAATAATAATAATAATAATAATAAGTCCGATTGTGGGTGAAGATTCCAGAGTGTCCTCAAGCATGTGTCACGTTTCTTTTCTCTATTTGTCCTCATTCTCCTCATCGTCTCAAGTCCGAGAAGAGGCTCTTCCTGTTGATCTGCTGCGACTTCGTGCCTGGCCTGGGCGGCCATTTTGCATGCTCCCAGAGGGCCCGTTTTTTTTCACCATAGTCCCGGCGAGCTCCAGGGCCGCTCCGGAGGAGGATGTGGATGAGGGCTGCGGTTCACCCGTGAGGAACGTTGTGGTAAAAGCCAGGAGGAGGAGGAGGAGAAGGGGGAGGCCCGATCCGAGAGTGAGGTAAGAATTGCAGGATGGGGGGGACCACAAAAAAGGAGGTGTAGGGGTACAAAATAGGAGGGGGGGAAAATAACCCCCCCCCCCCAAAAAAAGGAAAAATAAAATCACACACTCATCGTCATGTTGGGAGAATACTGAAAAGAGAGAGAGGAGGGGAAAGGGAGGGAGGAGGGCAAAAATGAGTGGATGTGCAATATTTAAACACTAGGGGGCGATCACACCCAGCACTGACATTAGCAAAATGCTGCAGGTATACAATCCAACTTCCAAAGATATAGATACTGGGTAAGGTAAAGTATGCATGCCAAGTTAGCTAAAGTAGGGAAAGTAGTCTAAGAAAAGGTAAGTAGGTAGGTATGATAAGGTCATTCAACCGGGTTAGCTAAGATAAGGTAGGTTGTTAGTGTGTTAAGGCAGTTGAAGTACACAACTTGCATATTTCGGGCTAAAACAGTCAAAGTTGGAACAATCTGAAAACATAAATTGTCTATTTTCTAGTTGGGACGACGATACAAGGAACAATTGGTTCTTTAACTTCTTTCTTCTTCTGTTTTCACGTAAAAAAGAAAGAAAAATAATCATAATAACCTTAAAATATTTTGTTGAATTGGCCAACTTTAAATGTTAGTTTGTTGCCTTGAATTTTTGAGTTCACCCAAATTTTTATTTTTTTAAACAGTTTACGTTAGACAATGTAAATATGTAAGGTATTGACCCGCATGTAGGATGATTACTGCGATTGGTTAGGTTTGGTAAGGTAGTGGAAGGACATAAAATGTTAGTCAAGGTTGGTCGGTAAGCTAAGGCAAGGCAAGTAGATCGGTAAGGCAGGTAAGTAACTAAGGTAAGTTAAGGCAATATAGGTAGTAGCTATTGTAAGGCACGTAGGTTGGTCAGGTAAGGTAGTTCAGCTAAGCTGTGAGAAACAAGGCAAGGTGCGTTAGGTAAAAAGCTACGGTTATGTAACATAGCTTTTGGAGCTAAGGTTGGGTTAGGTAAATTGCCAAGTTTGTTTTGAGAAAGTATAACATAGCTTTTGGAGCTAAGGTTGGGTTAGGTAAGAGTGCCAAGTTTGTTTTGAGAAAGTAGGAAGGTAAGGTAAGGTGTGGTTGTTTAGCTGAGGTAAGGAGGTAAGTACGGTGCGATAAGGTTAGTAAACTAGTCTGAACATTCTCCATCCCCCAAACAAAGTGGTCGTACATCTGATACTTCTGCAGAATAGTTTTTAGCATTGAATAATGGAGATGAGGTGATGATCATCACACATCACTGAAATAGACGCACAACATGAACTTGTTGGCTATTAGCAAGCTGGCACAATGCAAGCAGATGACACACTTCCAAAAAAAACAAAACACAAAGTGTATATTCCTGCTTGGGCAGGACTAGCATGCCTCACTTCAATAAGACAATTTCAAGAATTTATAAAGTCAAAAGTTAGGGTTCAAAATGACCGTCCTGTCTGCTTGCATTGATCCAGCGGTACGTCGGGGAAAGCGCCAAGGTGAATGAAGCCTTTGGGATATTGCGGTGATGCTGCGACTTACACTTTCGCTTTGGAATGGGTTCAAAAAGTTCCCGCCCATTTCGCCGTCGTCTCGCGGCGTTCCGGGAGGGTTGCTCATGCCCCCCATGTTATTAGGGGAACTCTGGATAAAAACAAGGGTAGGAAACAGTGGAAATACTTGACGTTATCATGGAGGACTTGAGAGTGAAACAGTGAGGGGTGGGGCTTGGGGGAGGAGGGGGGTTTTAGGTAAGTTAATGAAGGTATGTGAGCTAAGCAGGCAGGAAGGTAGGTAAGAAAAGTGGATTAGTTAGGGCAGGTTGGGTCAGTCAGGTTGGTTGAAGGCAAGTTCAGGCAAGGTTCAGTGAACTCAGGTCAAAGAAGTAGGTAAATAGCGTAAAGGTAAGGTCAGGTAGTTAAGGCAGGGTTAAGGTTTCAAGGTGAGGTGACTCACCTTTGGCAAGCCGTCCATATCTCCAGACCCTGTAGGAGCACGCCGCAATTGAGTCATAAAGCACACGTGACAGGTACACAACAAGACCGAGCAGAGAAAACGCACCGAGAGATCCGTTCATGTGGTGCGGCTCCATGGCTCCCATAGCGCCCATCGGCCCGTCAGGCCCAGGTCCCATTGGGAACTGCCGCAAATGACAGAAGAACAGAAATTTGCTTTGAAAACGGGAATTCAGATGGCTTCCGGTCGCAAATGGCCAAGAATTCAGTCGCGGAGTGCTCTCAATTCAGAGCTGTTTGTCTATCAAGCACGTAGGGCGCCAAAAATTGGGTGGCGATCAGGTGGTTTCACGAGAAGGAGTTGGTTCGGGTACAACCCCTCAAAATAAGCAACGTTTCGGAACACAGCAACTTCAAACCAAAATGGCGAGACAACAGAAAGTAGAAGAACGCATGCTTCCCCCCCCCCCATGTATGCAAAATTTGCCCTTACATTGGGTCTGTTGCCTCCCGCTCCAATGGGATTCATCATGGTGTAAATGTTTTCACTCGAGTTGGTCGAATCTGAGCAAAGCAAACAAAACGAGCTCAGTGAACAGATGGCATCGAGACGCGCTTTCAACCAAAAAATAATGACGAACAGCAAGAGTCAAGTGTGATGAGACACGCATGGTGAGCAGGCAAGATGGAGGGGATGGTGGGGGTGGGGCTGTGGGGGGCGGGTCTTATGTACGTGACGCACCACCTGGGCTGGGCATGATGGGTGTTCCGGGTGGACCACCGCCACCTGGGGGGCCCTGAGAGAAAGAGGAAGGAGTGATCAGTTCAAAATTCAAACCCATAACAGGACGGAGGTATTATGCAACCTCCAAAGTGAAGCATTTTGGCTTGCAGGTTGCTTTAATTCGAAAAGTATAAATCCCACAGCAAATGGCATCAAGTGAATTTGTAACCGTTAATATCAAAACATGTTTGATACAATGTTGAGTTTGTTTATAGTTTTTGGGTTTTTTTTCCGTTGACTTCATTTAGATTTTATATGAGCAGATTTTAGAGGTACTTTACAAAGACTTTTAAATGAGCATTTGTAAACAGCAGTGGCGACCCGGGCCTTCGAATCCCCCCTAATACCAACGCGCTTACACTGCTATTTTACAAAATAAGAGACTAAAAACACAATACAACGATGCGTGGCAGTACAGAGAGAAGCATTTCACACGTTTGGGAAGAAGAGCATTCATCCTGAAGCAAGAACCATACTCAGAGTCAGAGCCTTTATTTCCTCCAACCGATTCCAAATTTCTACACTGCATTATCATTTGAAGCAGTTCGCCATCAATATTTATCGAGTACTATGACAAAATCATAAAAAACTTCATTTACTGAGAGATGCTGATTTATTCATAGATTAAAAAAAAAAAAAAACCCTCACACCCTTTTCTTTGCTCCAGCCCGTCAACTAGCTGTAGCCCTCAAATGTGCTGCTCTGAAAAAGTGTGGAATAAATCCTCCAGCCAGGAATGATTTTTCTTGAAAAGTCCGGGTGAAAATGAATTTTTAATCATGTCAGAGATTCGTCCTCTTCCATAAATGTGCAAATGCACCAAGATGATGTCTGCTACCGTGGCCGACTGTTGCGGCAACCTTTGGTGCACGCACAGGAGGGGTGAGACTACATAGCTCAAACAGTCAGACGACAGAAAAAGCAAACGTCTGTCTTAGCCTGCGAGCAGGACCTGTTTGATGAATCTAAAATCTAATTGGCTAAAAAAAAAACAAAAACAAAAAAACTGCCATTACTGTCTATGTGTCATGGGCCAGCATTTACGGCACTGAAGACCATTGGCAGATTCTGCTGACATGGCAACACATAGAACCTGAAATCTGACTGGACAAATAAATAAATGAAATATGACTAGAAGCTCTGTAGCCAAGACACATTATCAAATCAATACAGTAGCATATATTATATCACGGTTGCAATCCTATTTCCTTTAAAATATACATTTTAACTTAGCTTTGTGACGGCATTGCTTTTATTTTGAACTGGGCAGCGCGGTGGGTGACCGGTTAGCACAAGCGCCTCAACAGCACAGAGGTTGTGAGTTCCTATCTGGGCTCCGCTTTCCTCCCATATTGCTAATACATGAACTTTAGTTTCAGTAAAGACTCAAAATTGTCCTTGAATATGTGTGGCATCAAAAAAAAAAAAAAAAAAAAATTAATGATATTACTACTAATTAATAGTATTAATATTACCATTACCCCTCAAGGCAAATTCACAACTGTCGCCATCATAAAAGCCTTATGAAGCACTTGAGCAACATTTTAAGGAACATTTTTTAATTTTTTTGTCAACTCACCACGTAGTTGCCCGGAGATGAGGAGGAGTAGGCTATCTGCGGAGGGAAACCAGAGCATCACACCTTAGCTCGGGCAGACATTCCAGCCGAGTAATACCGCCAAACACCAAAAACGGCTGCGCCACATCTTGCGAACAGCTGCTGCGCGGCAAAGCTCATGTTTGCAGTGTTGTCACACGTAAAAGTGAATTACTCACTGAGTTCGTGTTCGGCCCGGGCCACGGCCCTCTTCCTCCTGGACCCCTGCAGTGACATAGTGGAACATCAACTACATGATCACTACAGTCATAACGAGTACAGCGAGGACGTGACCGTACATGTTCATTCCTGGCATGGGTCCGCCCATGGAGTTGGGCGGGGGTCTCAAGCCACCGTAATTCTGTGAGATGAAAAAAAAAAAAGTCAAATTTAACATGGTATTTGATCATAGAAAGTACAGTGGTGCCTTGAGAAATTAGTTACATTTGGTCCGAATGTATAGAATGAAACTCTGCATCATGATAAAAATGCAACAATTCATTTCATTTTGCCTTTACTTCTGGGGTGCCCCCCTTGGCCACCAGGAGGCAGTATAATACAGTCATGCACTTGCACTGCAAATGCGCACTGAGGCAATCAAATATCAAGTCAAGTCAACTTTATTGTCAAATATACTCTATGTGCAACAAACAGCACAGACTAAATTTCTTTCCTCTCAACCACAGTGCAACCACAGGACAGAGAGAGGAGCCGCTGCGGTAATATGGCATGCACATAAATATTTTCACCATGCATGTGCACCGCTTGCATCCCTAGAGAAGAGCGTACAACAGTCATTTTTAGTCATACATGATCATATTGCACGGCAGCTCTACCGACCTGAATTGTTATAGTATCTGTCAACATGTGTTGCTCCACCGTTTGTGTTCAACTATTTGGTCATCAGAATGCTTTAAAAACGCAACTATCAATGCGAACTGTTGGCACGTTCATGGCATTTTCAAGCATATGTTGGCATCAAGATGGCGGGCTGGGTTTAATCCAACGTTGTTTGATTGTTTTTAGTATACATGAACTTCTAAATTCGGTCACTCGTATCTCAAGGCTCCGCCTTATGCGTGCGGGTGTGGCAGTGGTACCTGTGGGCCCATGGCCATTCCTCGAGGAGGGTTCATCCGCATCGGACCGCCCATGTTGGGATGCCCTGAAACGAGAACCCAGAAATTAATTCGCATTAATTCCAGAAATGGCTCGTCTCCTAAAGTCTATCTGAGACACACGACAGACTCGGCTGTGCCCTAATCCCATTAGTTCAAACCCTGTGGCTGTAATCTCCAGACAGAATCTCCAAAGACCTCTGTCGTCCTGGGCCAGACTCACCAGCTCACATTGAGACCACATGTGTGTAAAATGCCCCCCCTCTCCCCGCCCCCCATATAAAAAAAGGCGCCAGTATGGAAAATAATGCATGGCTGGAGTGATTTTCTTTTAGCTTAAGGTTCGTCTTATGACTCCATAAAGAAATCTGTGGTGCTGTCTCATATGCTGTCCTTTCAATGCAAATTAAAAAATAATCAATAATAATAATTATTGCTGCAAATAAATTTGCGCACTGATGCCTTTTATGCATATAGCGCTCTATTTAATTCCCGCCCAGTGCCACAATAACCAGCCACAAGTGTGGATGAATGCGAGCCATACCAAATGTTACACTATGTATTGTTTTATAGTTTTTCTCATACGATTACTTTTGACAATAAATTTTGTTCAAAATTTTTTGCACTTCTATTTATAACATGGGATTTGCATGCAGGCATGTACCGCAAAACAGTGGGGTTCCAAAAATAACATATTTTGAATGGAATTCAATTCATGGCTTTTTTTTTTTTCCACACAAGAATTGCCGTACCTTGCGGTCGTGTCGGGTCCAAACTGTTTGGCAGGAGAGGCTGCGATCCCGGAATTCCACCTGGAGGCTGAACAAAATACATGACTGATAGATAGACATGATCAGCTCCAAGTTGAATAAGAAGAGGGGCGTGCTTCGTACCTGATTTGGCATTCGGAGTGGGGGGCGCGGTCCACCTGGGTAGCGTGGTGACATGAAAGGCTGTAAAAAGACCAGAAGCGTGAGATTTGGGATACATGTTAGCGCCGAGGACGCACAGATGAGGCGAATGACGTGTAAAAGCCACACATCCCCCTGCTGTCACTGCGGTCGGCATAAGCCGACTCGGCCTGCGGTCGCGCTGGTTATACGCAAACGCGTCGGGGGCCAACAACAATAACAGCAACCTTTAGAGGAAGCATGCTCCGACTCGGGGAAACCAGAAACCGCGAGAACGACGATCCGGGCTCTGGGTAGAAATGAGCAACTTCGCTGGCTAACCCCAATTCAGATTTTTCCATTTAGAGAACGGTTCGAAGTAAGGATGTGAGAACATGCTTGGTTCCTTGTTTTATTCATATGCTGTGAGAAAAAGCAAGCAAACGGGAGGCTGTATGTGTGTGTGTGTGTGTGTGTGTGTGTGTGTGTGTGTGTGTTTGTGTGTGTGTGTGTGTGTGTACGTGCGGTAAGTGCACAACCCCTCACGAGCAGCTCCAGGGAGGGGAGGGGAGCGAATAATTTATTCCACACAGGGACACCCGATGCTGGGCACTGACGAGGGCCACGGCCTCCCGCCTTCTGGATGGTCCCCCAACGGTGACCAGAGGTGTTGGCTTATATGGTTCTAGAACCACAACCAGACTAATGGGCCCGGAGGGTCAAAGAGGAAGAAAGTGAAAGGAGAACTGATGTGGAGTAGGGGCCTTGCATTTGGGTGGGCTTTTCGAGGGAATTGAAAGGAAGGAAGAACTGCTGGAGAGTGAGTATTTGCCTCTTACCTGGCCGTGGGGTCCCATCATGGGGTTGCTTGGGTTGTGTGTGGGGGGCTGTGCGTGGGGGGACTGCTGAGAGCCGGGTGGTCCCTTTAAGAAAGAAGAGGGGCGGAAGGGTGGGGGTTACACCTGGGGCGAGCGCCCCTTCGTAATCGTCGGAGAAGGATGACGACTTTTAATTAATGTAATTTTGTGACTCGTTTGCATTCCATTTAACGGAGCCTGTGTACCACCACACTTTGAGAATCAGTGATGACGCGTCTAGGGAAGCGCTAAAGTTTTTCTTTCGTGCTTCCTCAAGTGTAACATGGCGTTGCGTGAGACCGGACCATCTGATTGACATGTCGCGTCATTTCGGGTGGGAAAATGGTTGGGACATCGGGACGAAGTCGCCTCACGACTGCGAACAGGAAACGCGTTTGCGGAAAACAAGCGACGCTCCCTGTCAAAATAAGTCCCTTCAGCACCACACACACAGACCCTCACTACACCCCCACCAATGTTATAAATAGCTCTCCCATGGTTCACTCTCTCTCTCTTTCTCCCCCGCTCACTCCATCCCTTTTCCTTCTGCACTCATTAGCCTCCCCGCCTTGCTTAGAGCACCAAAACAATGGTGGCAGGTGGGTGACCGTGAGTCCAGGTGGAGGTGATCTTTCACATTTCTCATCTCTCCGTCCCTGCCCGCTACCTTATCACGCTTCGGCCAAATGCCAAAGCTGTCTATCACGCCGCGTGGAGCCAGCTGTCTTTTTTTTTTTTTTCAATCTAAAAAAACTTGGGGCCAGAGAGCCACTGTGCAACCTGAAAGTTGTACCCGAGAAAGGTTGATTCTTTCTGAGGGTATAATTTACCCTGTGCGACGTCTTTTGAATTATGGTTGTATTTGGAAGGAAGGGCAAGGCTGTCAAATCCAGCCCTACCATGATAAATAGCCATTTACCGTGGCATGGCAGCAGGATGGAGCAGGTACACACGCTGAGACACTCACAATATATTTTGGGAGGTTTGTTCAGACAGCAACTTCCACAGAAATAATAGAAAGACATTTTTTTTCTTTGGCAGATAATGTGAAATTAAATTCTCCAAAAATCATATTTTAATTGATCGGCTACAGAAAACACGAATGACAATGATATCACAGTCACTCTATTGGCGAGGGATCGGGACCAGGCTGACCAGCAAATAGCGAAAATATACGTATAATTGGCGAAAAAAAATACATAAACACTTAACCCCCCAGATTATTCAGAAAAGGTTAAACATTCAATTTACGTTATTCACGAAAACGAGGGGTAGTTATATTCTTACAAGAAATATTAAAGTCTTGAATGTTACAAGATTTTTTTGGTTTTAAATAGTCATTTCAAAAAAAGTGAGTGAACTAAATTTTATTTGTTCGATAACTTTATTCTCATAAAACGGACAACTTATCCTGTAATATACTACAACTCAACTCTCTCTTTTTCAATGTCGCTCGAAATCGCTTTTTAATTTAAATCTCTTTAATGTCGTCACATTCGAGGAACGAGTGGGGCTAACAAGAGATGTTGGATTGATTGATAGATTGGTTGTGGCTGGTACCTGGAAAAAGCCCGGAGGCATGGGACCGCCTGGCATGGCGTCGTTGGGGGGCATGTTGCCCATCACCGGGCTGGGCGCTGCTGCCGCACTCTGAAAAACAAACAAAAACAAAAGCCAAGTTATTCAACGTGACGTTTGCAACAGGAATGGAAAGGGTGCAATGGTTGCTAATTTGCTGAAGGGGGCAGTATCTCCCACCTTGGCCCAGCTTCCATTCACCATATTAAGTTTAATGGCTAATTCAGGAAAGTGTGGCCTATTACTGCCTTTAAAGCGTTACCTGAAGAGC